AACTATTTTCACTACAAACTTGACTGTTTTCTCACCGATGGCGCCACTTACAAGTAATTACAGAGGGTTCTGATCTAAGCTTAGACAATTAGTTATATATATACATATATATTTATATATATAGATATATACTTCTTAGGAAAGTATTTCTCATTCTCGACCGCGAAATGGCGATACCATTTCATGGTCCATGAAATGGAATGCGGGTACATATCTATATGTATACATATTAGTAAATGCAACTGTTTCAGGTAGTGGCATATTTTAATAAATAACAACTTAATTTTTCAGTTTTTTTTTATTAGTTAATAACAGATGACATCAATTTTATTTAGTACATTCATGGAATCATGTATTTATACAGAAATTTCGATTGTTCAAATATTTTTCATTTAATCATAAAAAGGAGAAGTCATATTTGTATGGAATATACGATATAACATAATTTGTAATATAAATGTTTTCAGGAGAATAAGTTTTAAACACACATTATTCCCTATGATACAGGTTACTACATCATTTTTTATGTATGTTTCTAAATAATAATATTGATAGTTACATGTAACTTTTATCATTCATAGTTAGTAATTTTGATCTTACAACTATACTGAATTGTCTATAAAATACAATTACATAAACAATTTTTCTGAATAGCTGTATGCATATTGTATAACAAATGATTTGATAAATCACTTTAATATATGCAGAAGTAATTATTAAAATGTATAATGCTCACTACTTCTCCTGTTTAAAGTAGTAAGGATGAAGTGTATATTATTTAATTTGGTATCAAACAAAAAATATACAAAAGAAAACTATTACAAAAATAATATAATGATGCTGCGCGTAAGTATATGACTGTCTGTATCTTATGAAATTCTGCTAAACAGTAAAATTATTATAATTAAGAAGTTAATCAAAAATTAATATATTTAAAAGAAATAGAAGATATTAGCTCAATACAGTGATAACTCTTGAAAATGGTATGTTATTTGTAATTTGGAGTCACACGAAAATAAAAGACAGACTGTGAATACCATAAGTCTAATAAAATTACAAATCCTGAAAATTTAAAATCCAATCATTTTGGATTAGAACACAATAATACCCATATAACTGGAAATTTATTTATAGATACAGAAATTTGACTACTTATTCAACAAATTTCAATATCTTAATTGCGCGACGAATGATAGCATTTTGTAAAACAAATAGGTGTTTTCATGCACTTTTATCTCATACCTTTTACAAATTAATATATCAAAGGTCATCAGATCTGTAAAATAAGAAAATTGGTTAAATGTATAAATAAAAATGTTGCAACTTATGAAACTGTATAATATTAGTAAAAAACTCACATTGTCAACATCATCTTCGTCATCATCGCTAATTTCATCGCCGAATTCAATGTCTTCATCGAATCCGTCTTCAACGAAGGTGACAGTATCATTGATACGTACTGTAACAATATTCAGAATGTAATAAACACATTCTCCTTGTTAATATTATGGAGAATAAATTTTAAATAATTTACATATTAAAACTTACCAGTTTCTGGGAATTCACCATATGTTTTCAAATTACGAGCTTCATCTGATGTGTATTTTAATATAACATCAGCTTTTGCATCTTGATAATCTCGCAAGCCAATCAGTATTATGTCACCTTGATTGATCCATACTTTTTTTCGTAATTTTCCTCGAATATGACACAATCTCTTGACACCATCAAAACACATTGCTTCTAACCTTCCATTACCAAGCATTTTTGTGACTTGTGCATATTCTAAATACAATAACAAAATCGAAAAAAAAAATGGTTAAACATACAATTTTGAATATTAGAATTACTTTTCAAACTCTAAATCCATTCCATTTAATTAGGATATGATTTATTTCGCAATAACGTTCTAATTATTCCTCAATAATTTCCCATTAAAAAGTAACAAAGTTCAACTGCTGAAACGAAATGATAGAATCTTACCTTGTCCATCTTCTTTGAAAACCAATTCTCTTTTTTCTGTTTCATTTTCATTTTTACCCCTTCTCCTGTTTTTACCTCCCTTTCCTGAGAAAAATAAATTAAATTCTTAATATCGAAGTAATTACATCCGCAAGGAAAAATGATGAGGCGGAATGAATGTTCAACTTTCTGTTATACTGTATTCGACTATTTCGGGAGCAAGGTTGACATTAACAGGTTAGAACAAACTAACCACATTGCAAGTTACATGACTCTGTATAAATACAGAAATTTCGGAACGAAAGAAATACACGACAAGTCACAGACGTATACTGACCCTTATTCTTCGGCATGTTGACTCGTTAAAACTTGTTTAAACAATAAATATGCGATAAATTCAGATAATGAGACCAAGTATTACACTCAATGTCCTAAAAACGAGATTTGCACCACAGCACACCTCATGGAAAAGACGTGAGCTCTATCTATCAGAGAATGTCAAGTAAGCCAAACTTGAAGCTGTTTTCTTCCTAATGAGTTCTAAATACGTAAAATCACTAAGTCAAAATTACTTTTTTTATTTTACTATAATTTAAATGCACGATTGGACACGAAGTTTGTTAAAATTCAGATATCTAATTGACTACTCGTCAGTGACAAACACAAAGAAAGATGATCGTCACTTTCGTTAGTAAAAATATAGAGATTATAATTTCGCAGGTTGGTATTATGGAAATCTAGACAAAATGGCCATTGAAATTGTACCACTTCTTTTAGTCCCGCATAAGCAGTAATCGTTCATGTTATTTGATATTAAACCTATCATGTACGTTAAAGAAAACATTATTTATTATAATGTTTATATTAATATTACTACATGTAATATTAATTATATGTTTATGTAAATATTCGACATTTTGAGAAACTACATAATTAGGAAGTGGTGCACAACTCCTGTAGCTATCACTGTACACATGAATTTCAAAATTTAAAAAATTAACATGCCAATACAGATATGCAGTTACCTATTATTAACATTAATTGTAATAATGTGTCCTTTCAAATCAAATAAAAAAGAACTAGATATATTCCATACCATCTATTGAAGCCGTTTTTGGATAATTCTTTATAATAAAGTACGCTTAAGCGTATAATTAATTATAATTAATTAAATGTTAATTTGTTATTTTTACTATTTTTGCTATTTGAAGTTCGTACTTATGCATTTGGTTCTCTACTCGTCTAAAATTATACTAAAATTATTGTACAGTGGATAAAGAAATAAATAATATACTTTTAGGTAACAATTTTATTTAACAATTGGACAAAAGAACATTTTGTTACAATCACCGTATTTTTTTAATACGCGAGTTTAGATTGAAATGAAACTCCTTATTACTAGTCAATGAAAAATTATAAACGTTTTGAAACGAGACAATCAAACAAAAATTAATATATTTGTTGTATTTATCGCGAAAAAGAAAATTTATTTACAGTATGTAAAAGAATCAGACGAATTCGGATTCTCGACTAAATTATTTCTATGTATTTCGTAGCAAAGTTTAATATATTTTATCACTTTATTCGCAAATTGTCCGAGGCACTGAAAGATTATAACCTTCGGTATATTATTAAAGTTACATTAGAATCGTGCTATTAAATTACCGCGAATATGCTTTCGGCTTTACAACATCATGTAATAATGACAATTTGTTCAAAAATTATTGTGCAACGTGCGTATAATCAGCTCTTTCTATTTGTGTACGAATATGTGAGTGTATGGTAACAGAATTCCTCGACTTAAACAATTTCTGTCGTAAGTTAAAAAAAAAAAATAACAAGTTGCTAATGCGAGCAAATATATTTATCGCGTTAGAGTAAAATTGAAATGGTCACGCGATTATGAAAGTATCGAGATCATTATACGATTTCCAACAGTGAGCAGCTTGTTTTGATCAGAACTGGACACTTTAGAAAAGACTTATGAAAAAAATTTATTACTAAAAAAAAAATCGAATTAAAGATAATATAAGGTTTTCAACAATCACTTTTTGAGTAGTAATTTAAATGGGAACGAACGAAGCAGTTTCATTATTTGAAATTCCTGTCGCTTCAAATGAATCAATGTTTTTTTATTTCTGTATCAAGTAATAATTGCCCAGATCTGATCCCGACGATATAATTCCAGCAACGTAAATCAAAATGAATGGTTGAAAAGTCTGTACGAAATTGGAATAACGAAGGAAATGCAATAAATCTATTTAAAACTTATAAATACAAAATAAATAAACGTTGTTAATGCCAGGACGCGTTTGATGTTTTCAAAGAATCCGTTTTCGTTTCAAATGTATTTCACCTGTACCACATTCGATAAAACTATAACACTTGATGCTGGATATATGCCTTCAATGGATTCTGAATTGCGCAAGTTGTTTTCCTCTCGGTGGCATAAAACGGCAGCTTGTTGTAATATTCTGACGACCAAACATTGAATTCCATAGCGCAAGCACATTCCATATTAAATCCACGGCCTGAAATAGTAAGTTATGACATAATGAGATTTAATACAGGTTCGTACATGTATGTCATAATGGTACGATTAAATATATCGCTATACATAAGTAAATATAATAGATTATATACAATACGTTTGTTAACATTCTTTTTCTTTTTTATTTCTAAATACTACAGTTTTTACTTATTAGTATAAATCTTCGCAGAATGTAAATTTATCTACTATTCTTAACTTTCTGTTAGCCATATGTAATTACGATTCATACCTAAATGGTCGCCAGACTCCGTCTGTCATAATAGTTTTATATTGCTCGGACAGCCGTGGTTCATTCTGTATTCCACGTACAACATTCCAGTGTTGTGCCAATAATAAAGAGCCAATACCACCAGTGCGTGCCACCATTGATGAGAGGAACCAATGTAATCCACCCATCCTTTAACATAACGATACTCTACTTATGTTTCGATCATGTTATTGTGTTTATTCATAGCAAACACCAGCGCAACGTTTTATGTGGTAATAAAATTTCAAATAACATATAACAGATACAATTAACTATCGATTTATTATGTGTTTAATAAACATTATAATTTGAGTTGTAAAATTAAATTATATTTCGCGTTAATAATTACGAATTTTAGTTGCACTTGCAATTATTATTTAGTAACAGGTATTAATTCAATAAAAAAATTATTTGAGATTTTATTATAACAGTATTTTCTATTACTAATTCTTTGATTTCTATGAATGAAACATGCAATCATGTTATTATTTATATTCATGTTCATCAGTCTAGGATGATTGCACTGGCTTTGTTTTTATCTGTGTCATCTCTTTATTACGATTCCTGGTTACTCGGTAGTGATAATCATTAATCACCGGCTCGATTGCACGTTAATCATGAATGTTACGTAATCATGAAATTACGTTTTCAATAACACTAAGTACATTTTACGTTAGTGCTCTACGACAGGTGTGTTCTGATGAGATTACAGATACGTCGTAAAAAAGAGCGTAATAAATTAATGAGAAGGCTATTCGCAAACGAGTTCCATTCACTTGGATACACTGCTGAGAATATTCTTATGTTAATTTACTAGACTTGCTTACGCAAACAAACGTTCTCCTTAAGCAAAAAATAGTAGATTTTTTTTAGACTTTCAAGATGGGTTTTCTTAGGAATTATTAATTTTAAAAAATTACTAATCACTAAAAATTAATAAAAAGAAATTGATTTCATATACATCAATAAGCTTTGGATTCAAACAAAGTTTCATTTAAATCAGAATTCTCAGGTTCGAACGCTTCTCTTGTTCGACATTTAAAGAAAACAAATTCACCTTATGCGTGAACTTTCTATAATCTGTGAATTTTCATCAATTGTTACGTTCTTAAATGTTTTATAATTGCAATTAGCTCACTTAACGTTTCACGTCGAATATACATAGATAGCCTCTTCTGAACAACAATTACAATTAGCATATGATGATCAGCTTTCATAAAAAGTCGCAACCCACTTGTCTCTCAAATATGCAGCGATAACCCTTAAGTAGTGTAATTACCTGGACAAAAGCGTTCCGGTATTTTGGTCACATAAATGGCAAACGCTCCACCACTAATGACATACATTCCTAGTACCCTCGGGAGCAACATTCTAACGATCGGGTTGTCCATCCCGCCCATAGCGATGCTCCAATGCAGCGTTGGCAGCACTCCGTATGCTGCCCAAGCGACAAAAACGACTAGCTTGACGTTACCATTGACATTTAGTTTTGGTATTTGCAGTGTCATTGCGAATATAAAAATCGCCAGTACGGTTATTAAATAAAAGCTCTGCAACTCCTGTAAATAGATAATTAGTTTACTATTATTAACGGCCAGTCGACGATCTCTCGTGTTTACAGACACTTTAAGAAGAGTTTATATCGGTGAATAAAGTCTAATAATTAACGTAGCACGTCGAGCATAGTTTACTTTTCATTTATCAAGCGTTTCTCCAGTTTCTAGGGTCCTTTTAAATAATACAATAAAAGAACTTAAATAAGAATATAATAAAAAAGAATAATAACTGTAAGAATTACTCGTCACATTTTGTTATTTTTAATTTTAAGACAATTTCTTTTATAGTAGTTCTTTTTTCTAAATTCTTCGGTTTCTAGATATCTCTTTAAACAACTTAGAATTTAGCTTTACGGACTTGTTCTATTTTTCAACTCATTAATTCAAATGTATTCGTGTTCGTTTACACTGCAAACAAAAAAGAACAAACACCTCTGAGACGATACGACACGTGCCCGTAAAACTCGATACACGATACTATTCGGAAAATTTGAAATATGTCCTCAGGGGCTGTAGCATGCGAATATGCAGCTACAGTACAGGCTTAGCGAACCCAGGGTACCCTAGCTAGATGGGGGTCAGTGGGCCCCAAACAGACCTGTACAAAAGACAAGACTGACGTAAATGCAATGTACAGAGTTACGATAGCGCGAACTAAGGCAACATTAAGGAGTTATGCAAAGCAAAGTATTGCCAAGAGGAATAGAAATAATTATATTGTGATGTATAGATTCAGTGCAATAACTGAAGTGACAGTTATGCACTTAAAAAAACCAAGAAAAGTTGAAATACTGAATATGTACTAAAACGCTGCCATGGTGAGGAATTAACAATGGTCAACACTGTATGCATACAGTGCGCGTGTTAATTTATTTACGAAATTCAATCACCTTATGACACCAAAACGCGTAGTAAACTCCGGACATGTATATCGACAAGAGGCTCAAAGCAATGCCAAACAAGTCGAATGATAAAAAACACCAGTAATCTTTTTCACTTCGACAGGAAAACGTGTGGTACACCGACGATAATATCATGCAGGCCTGAAACATGAATTTTTACATATTTCCTGATTAATTCTTATTTAACAATTTATCTTGTGGTTTTAATATCGAAGCTCTCGTTTCATAAAAATACAGGCAGAAGTATCTGCCTACTTCAAAAAACAATTTTAAAATAGAATTATCAGTTCTAACTTGCTTAAAATTAGAATTAGCTTTTTTAACTTTAAAATTATTTAAATACGAAAATTATGTTAGCAAATGAGGCGAGGAGATATTTCTGAGTAAATGTACAGTGTTGAAATAGGAAGCAGAGTTACAAATCACATCGTAAATTCATTATAATCAAAGAGACGTTATTTTCATTTACCTGGAAACAGATTAGTAAAAGAGCTACGATTATTTTATCACCCAACGGTGCGTGGATATTTAGTAGGCAAAGATCGTACAGCGTCAAGCCAAAGAATAACATCCATCCAAATATGTGGCTCCATATATTCACTGTTTCGTTCGTCCACCAGAATATACTGGAATAAACAGTTTCTAAATGAAGCATTACTTTGTGAATGTAACACGTAATAATAAAATAAAAATGTATAGTTGTTTAACGCTTTCAAATCGGATCTTTTTATTTTTTAATATTCCACAATGCATGATTATATATATAATAAAGTAACTCTTGGAGTACGAAAAATAAATTTGTAATGAAAATTATCGTAACTTTAGTAATGAAATGTAAAGTAAATTTTAAAAAAAAGTATTCATTGGAATGGCGATAAGCTTGTTTGAGATAGCTCCAAATAGCGTCAAAACAGCGTAATAATTAATACGTATTAATAGTGAATAATAAAATAGTGCGAACCTTTCGACGCATAATTTTGTAGTAAGATATCCTCGATATCCATGAAGAATGTAAGGGTTGTGTTGAAGATATTCAGGAGCTTCTTCGAAATCGAGGAGCCGTCTCATTTTTTCTTCATCTTGTACCGTGACGTTACCTTTGATAGGCGACTCTTCCAACTTCTTGGAGGCTCTGCGATACACCTGGAAAGGATTGCAAACTGTTTCGTTGAATTGGAAAATTGTATTGTTATTATCAAGTTGCAAGTAGTCACGGTGAACAATTTATAATAATGTTTTTACAACAATTAGTTCTGTTACAGTTCCTTAAGGGGATGACCAGAATGCTGGGTAAAAAGTAAGCTCAATTTTTCAATTTATTTTTGTACTCTATAATTTATCCCTTAAAACGAAAAATATTAAATATTATATTCTTTTATAGAAAAGAAATTTCTAAATTGTGTCATTAAATACATCGTAAAATAAATAGTTTAATTTTAATACAAATACATTATATCTACATTGTTATTATGAAACGTCGAAATAAAGAAATTGAAGTGAAAGGGTAATTGTTTAGACTCGATTAAACGTTTCTGGAAATCGTAAAATTGCTACTACACCGCAGCAGCTACTTCCAATCAGTTCAATGACCATTTCGGCCATAATTATGCGGCACAGATGATTTCAGGATACAGCAGTGAAGGTTTACCCTCTATCCCGAGATACGAAAGCTGTAAAGTAGGGCACAACGGGACTTGCCTTTCATTCGAGTGTGTCAAGTTTATACTGTGGGCTTTCTTCTCTGTTTTTTTTTATCTTCCGCCAGCGAAATCAATTTCCCACCTCGCGAAACTAGCTTCGTGCGCCAGCACTAAGTACTCTGTCGCTCGTCCACGACCAATGTAATCAACGTATCAGATTTCCAAAACGATCGTCAAGATGATGTAACCCCATTTTCAAAATTCTCAATAGTCGATTGATCTTAATGGAAAGACACTGTTTTTTAGTTATACAAAAGAATAGTGTCAACAACTTGCTAACGTGTTTAGACTTGTATACAAGTTTCTGATTCCACTTATAGTACCTCAAACCTTAGTCCATAGTATTGCCACAAGAATGAAAAACTTTAAATAAAATAGTAAAGCTAAGCAAAAGGTGGGACAGTGTTTAACAACTAGAGATAAAGAGACTTCAAAGAGAGAAAACGGACAAGCATATATCCAAATTCATTTTTGTCTAAGCCTTTTAATTAATTCTAATAAATTTACATCATTCATTAAAGCATTACTTCAGTAATATATATCCGATAAAGAATTATCGAGAATCTAATATAAAGGGTGCCTAATGTTCTGTTTGACAAATTGTTACTGCACGTGAAACGTAATTTTTCATTGTCCACTTGCGTTAGAAAATCGCATCACTAACCTTAATACCTTGTCGTAATAAGAAGAGCTCCAACCTACATACTCATAAACGCATATCGACGTTTCTCAAAACCTAAACTTAAAATGTCGGATGGAAACGGAGCACAGCGAGCACAATTGCTGAACACGGCACTGTGTGATCTAATAGTAATTACCTGACCGCCTCAAAGTGAAAGTCGGTGTCGAATATGCACGCGTACTTGCATGATTTTCGCAAAAACGTCGACAGGTAAAAGTCACCGTTCCCGCGTTTCATTTCCGGTTAGAACGGACCAGGAACTGTTGTTGCTACCGCCAGAGATTCAACGAAATTATTGTTTGAGATATCCATCAAAAAATATTCTTCAGAACTTTCTTTGATCAAATGAAAAATAATTGTTGAAATTGAACTTTAACAATTGTAACTTTTATCTATAAATGTTTTATATGCATAAGTTTTATTCAATCCTTTATTATAGCAGTGAATGACAATTTACCTCCCCAGTGAGCAGTTTGATCGTCTCCTGCGCGAACTCCGCCGTAGCTTGTATCTCATGGTTGTTGTTGTGCGGCTGATCATCGTCGGAAACCTTTTCTTTTTGGTCGTTCACTTCTTCGACGCCTGTCAGTAATTTCATCATTAGAGAAACTGAGGTATCCTACTTCGCGTCTGTGAATAAAAAAGAAAAAATCGCAAACATTTAGGCGAGAGCTTGGTGTAGAGTTTTAACTAACAGCAAACGTTTCGACAGTTAGCATGTTTCAGTGTTGATTCGTATGCGATTTGCGTGGACGAAGCTTCAAACTTATTTTAGAAAAAGGGTATTTCAATTTACGAGCACGACTTTTATGTTACTCGTAATAATCGAGGCTACATAAAAAATAAAACGATGCATTGATAAGGATACTTATTCTATGTGGTTGGAAATCTTTAATTCTGTATTGTGAAATAGCTGAAATAATCAGTGATATATCTGAATTTAGAAAGTTGAAGTTATGTCCGTAACAATTCACGAGTATACATTCTAGTTCACACATGGACGCTAACCATGGCATGTATGTACATCATTGAAATGTTGATATTAGCAATACTATCAAATTTGAAAGATTATCATTAACTATAATTTTGGGTATTTATATATCTAAATTGTAGCGTGATTTTGTTTTAATAATAGAATTTTTGGATCCATTTTTTTAGAACAGAGTTTCATAGATAACGTGGCAACGATTAATAATATTCTTTCAACTTTATGTTTAATTCGAACAAATTCTAATCACTCTCTCATTTCTATTTTGCAAATGAAAAAAAAAAACTAAAATCAACTGTTATTCTCAATCCTCGATTTAAGCTACTTGCGTTGCGGTCCTGGGATTTTCTAGCAGCACGCAACTCCCTTGCAAAGTATAATACTTCTGGGAAGCTGGAAGAATATAACAAGAAACCGTAAACTAAATTGCTGTTCCCTGCACGGAATATTACAGACGGAATTAGTATTTTGTACCGTCCAGAGACTTGTTTAAACGTCGGATGTACATAATGTAATAAGAAAATCACAAAGGCGTCCAGGTAGACTAGACCTTATCCCCAATAGAATCTTATTCTTAATAAAGGAGGACATACTTTTGACAAGTTAAAGAAACGATCTTTCTTTCTTAATTTTGTACTGTTTGTATATACCTATAACGTAGTATGGCAATAATTTTTAATACTGGAAGGAAATTGGAAAACGTTGCTGTACAGTTCACGTGAATCCTCCCATTCATCGTAAATGTATGCTTCGCGTTGACCACGATTTCTCTTGTCGAGTTCATCTGACATCAATGGACCAGCAAAAATTCTTTAAATGTATTAGTATATGTAGCAGCAATGAGCTACTTTTCCAAAATTCTTGTTTTGACAAGAGGGATATTTTATGTCGAATAAAGTAATTCATTACCGATACTATACTTTGGAAGATTATTACAAAATGTCCTCTTGCATCTTTATATCCTCCTACGTGTGTCCTCTTTTATTCCTTAAATTATAAATGGTGGCTGAAATCTCTCTACGTGTAGACTTTGGTCTCCTTCTAAGATAAATTTTCCACGAACCAAGCACAAAAAGTAATGCAAAACAACACAGTCTTTTCACTCGGACGTAAACGCATAATATTTGCGATCGTAAACAGTCGGAGCATAGCTGAAGAGATCCTCAACCAACCGAAGATTGAAATGGGCTACGCAACTATTCGTGTACCACGGAGATATCTGTTCACTCTCTCCTGAGCGTCGAACAATCTTTTACGTTTAATCTACGAGAAAGTTGAAGCCGTTCTTCGGAACCTGAATCTGTTGAGAATGTGTGCTCTCATCCGCAGAAATGTGTGACCGACGGCTCTCTATTCTCGGGCTTAAAGCATGTTACCTCTCCTTGGATAAAAGTACACTAAATCAAGGTAAAAAGAAATTTAAGAAAAAAATCTAAGAAAACAATTAATTTGTTTTTCTGAAGGGATGTGTCTTAACGAATGTGTTAAAAAAGCATTGCGACGATTTTATTAGGCGTAGAAGAAAAATACTTTTCTTTTTACAAATAATTCAAATGTTTTCTGTCGTCGGTTGTAAAAACATTGAGAAATAGCTAAAAAATTAAAAGACCTTGTAAGTTCGTAATAAACATCTAATTGTGTCTTAAATATTTCATTTGGAAGTATTTATTAAGAACAAATTGTACGACAAATAATACTTCGTTTATATTAATAGACTCATAATTCTTTCATTATGTATTTTAATTGAAACATTATCAAGGTCTGTTGCTGTATACAGTTCAACGCTGGTCAAACGCTGATAAAATTCATTTATTCTTACAATTACGTGAATTCTGCCACTAAAAGAAGTTTTATTCAAGAGTCCTCTGTTCGCCTGTTCAGTAAGAAGTCTTGGAACTTCATTTTTTAATAACAAAATACGTCTGTTTTTCACATTTAATTTGTAATCATTTAAAATCGAAACATCATTTATATTTCTTGCATTAGTGTTTATTAAAAAACAAAATCCTAATGTCTCCTTTGAAAAACCCTTTGAATATTTGTAGTCGTTAATCACACGTGTAGCCATCAATACTATTTCCAATGAAATGTTCATAACTATAAAATCTTTGAAGCACGATTGTCAGAAAAGTATTGTTCGTAAAAGTTGTTACGTTCTGCGTAGTGGTTTGACACAGTATGATTAGTTAGTGGAAACTGTCAGTCTAGGATCAGACAACCGACGATGCACAGTGTTGCACCTAGTGCTGGAAGTAGTTCTCGGGTTTGCTCGTTTTAATTACATAATCGTAGATGATTAAATCATTAGTTACATCTGAGAACGAACGTTTGAGATTGAAAACGTTTATGTACTGTAATTTTGTCGATGTCAGCGAATATAACTACTGTTTGCAAGACTGATACATTTTACGTTCCTTTTTTAAGTAATGCTGTACAGAAATACCGCTGTCTTAAAATTAAAATATATTTTTCCTTCTTCTTTTTTCTTTTGTCTGTGTTATAGATAATCAATAATGTAGATAGTGATGTAGATTATTTGATAATATCGACCAACAAAGTATAGGTATAAATTTATTGTATAAGCGACGTTTTAGATATTGTGGAGTTCGTTTCGTCGGGTAAATTAATTAAAATTATATGTCTAGGTACAATATAAAATTATAAATAACTGTAAAGTTGCCAAAGAATTATGTTTAAATAATGGAAAAAATATGGAAGTCCAATGTCTGTGAATATTAAGGGATTAAAGGAGATGGCATGCAACACCGTTAAATTAAAAATAAATACATGATAATAAATTTAATTTATTATTTAATTTCTGTTTTTAAAGGTTATCGATACTGTATGAAAAATTGTTTCGATTTAAGTTTTAACATGTCTGGGACAAATCGTGCGACCTATAATTACGAACAGTACGTTCAATTTTTCTATTATTTCCATTAAAAGTTACAGAGTGTAATTAAAAAGTTTACGTTTCTAATTTTGCTGTGCTGTCAGATATGAAAGTCTAGTACCGAGCGTAACCGAGTTATTCCAAAGAATATGAAAGTTTGTGGAAAAACGATCGCGGCTAACGTGTTTATTGTTTCTGTCTACTTTTTATTTTTATTCACGATATTTTAGACAACATTCCCACTTCGACAAATAGAAAATAAAAGAAGGAGCAAAGTATTTAAAATAAAACAAGTCAAATCAATTTAATTATCTAAATGAAAAAAAAAGAGAACTTTCTGTAATATCTAAGTATACACACTATGCGTACAAGGTACAAAGAAGATACAAGACACAAAACAGGTTCAAGGCTTATGAATGAGAGCATAACAACCAAACTCGTGGTCTTGCTGTACTCGAATACCTCTGAAATATTCAAATACTAAACTATTCATATAGTCACAGCCCTAGTTATCGCGCGAAACTTCACGCTTACACATACTGGTCGCAATACCCGGCGTTATTGCTTTGCAATGATTTATAATCGTTATCGCTTATCATAAACAGCCTCTTTCAATTCGCCGGAGTGCACCTATAATGTTCTGATGGACAATAAAAAGAAAGAAAGAAAAAACAGAAAAATAAACCAGAAGAAAAAGATGATAAGAAATAGTAACGATAAAATAAAAATAAATATGAAGACAGTGAGAGGATCGCATATAGTACATTGACGTTGCGGATGCCTTTTCTTCTATCTGAAAGGAATGATACCACGTACAATCTCGTGATGAATGTTAACAAGATTTAAGAACATCTCCCTTTGTCAACCCTTGCGACAATTGTCCCGGTCGATTAGTGTTACTTTAGGTGCAACTGCTACGTACCACTTGCGGCGTGTCGATTTGCAAAATTTCCAGGACAGGTGCTGTTCCTCGAGCAATCGCAGTCCGAGTTTTGAAAACGTCGCGGCGGAGACGGAAGTTAAACGGTCGTCGATCTATCGACGCATTCTGTCGACGGTCGCGTATACATGAGCGAGTTACCTTGTCCTCCTCGATCACCGAACGTGTCGAGAACAACACTGACACTGACCAAGTCGCAGCGCGAGCAGACTGTCCCAAGCGCCGCTCGATAGATCGAAACTCGTTCCTTGCACCACGGGACGAGTGATGGGTTTGAGCCACAGACTACTTCCGCAAGGCTTCGATGCATCGTTCAGCTCTTTAATTTGCAGCTTAAATAATTTGTTCCTTGGTAGCCCAAATTTCCAACGCGTTGATACGACGTGTTCGACTCTATAATTTCAGTAATTTTCATTTAAAAAATCTAAAACAATTTTTCATTCTAAATTGATAAAGAAGAGGGATGAAGAGGAACACTCCATGCAGAGTTGATCTCTCTATCTGGTAGTTGCTTTTATTTTTGCTTTTTAGTTCTATTTTATCGGTCAAAATAAAACCATAATCAAAAAATTATGAAATTGCTTTCGAGGCTTATGAGTACCTGAATGAAAATTATAATCAAGAATGAAGTAATGGAGGAAAAGTACAAGACGATTATTTACAGAAAAACCTGTGCCTATTAAAAACAATTACATTTCTCCAATCTGCGCTTATACGTATGTATGTTCGTATGGGTGTATGCTTGGTGGCACGATTACGTCTAAACAATTGAGTGTACACAAATAAAATTCATATTTATGTTTCATATTATCAGTAAAAGTTGACAGAAAGAAACATTATGTAAACCATATAGTAATTCGACAGTCGTTATTATCATAACAGTCGCCTACATGTAGTTGAATTGACTTCAAACACTATACCGCAGATAGCATTGTCATCGCTTTGTCTCATTAACATTTTGTCTTTCTTTTCCATTGTTCATTGTTAATGTCGTGTTATTGTTTTGTTTGATAATAAATAATTAGTTTTAATTACGTCCCAAGGTATGTCATATGAAACTAGAAATGTGCAAAATTCTTATTTAAATAAAAATTTCAAATAACGAATAAAAAATAATAAGTGTTTACGTATTACTTGTTAAATCAAAATTTGGGTTTTTAATATAGAATGAAACGTTTCACAATAGACAATTATGCTGTTCGATCGAGTATAAAAATAAATTGCTGCAGGTTGATTTTATATTTGTCAAGTACTATTCAAATAAAAGGAATATTTCTTCTATTTTTTCGCATGAAATCTAACAAAATAAGGAAAAGGTTGAAAATTATTTCACTGCCATCTTGATGCAACACTTATACATTCTCTTAAATACAAAATAAAATCAGTTACATCCATTGCATAATGAACATTTCCTCGTTAAAAATAAGATTTAAAATGCTGTTTACCTACACTGAATTTCTTAATAGTAGAGTGCATTGTTGCGTATATCCGTTCAAATAAATAATTTTTAAACAATACATCTTCTATAACAGTGACCAATAATCGTCAATAGATACAGACCCTTTTCAGTCAACATTCGGTTATAATAGAATACTGTTTAATGAGTATTACTGAAAACCGGATACGAGTTTGTAGATTCTACAAACTTTCTACTGCTTTCGGTGTAAGATCGAAGATAAGGAGAGCGCTTTTAGTAAATGTCCATTGTAACGCTGCGGTAATAATACGCTTTCAAAAACAGCCTGTACCGATATACATTGGACTTTCAAGTAACAAAATAATAATAATAATAATAATAAATGTTTCGTTACTTTTTGCGGTATTGAAATTCGTCGCGTCAAAACAGATGATCGTATTCTTTTAAGAGACTGATTAGTATAAGTGGGTCGCACTGTCATTAACGACCTACATTTGTACATATGTACAAATACGAATAGTGTCCACTTTTTCAGTCAAGCAAGACCAAATAATGGAAACCTGTTTCCCAAAATTGTGTCGAAACATTCTGACGAATACTAACGATAAATAAAAAATCAGAACTTTAATTGCAACAAGTAAATAAAACAAAGGTTTCACTGCCACTAAAAATGATTAGTTAATAAAAAGATCGATTTAGTGAAACGAAAATGAAAATGCTAAACGTGCAATAAAATAATTGTTACGAGCAAAACGAAAAGCACTATAACCCTTTTCGTAAAATAAAAGTTTCAAAATGGCCTTAAATTTTTCTATTAATTGCAAACATTTAAAATAGCATTTACTTTTTAATTTCATATAACCTTTGAGTTTCCAATGACTTCATTCGGACAACTCAAGATGAATGGAAAATGTATGTACTAACAAATATTAAATTTAGATCCACATAATTAATTAAGAGCTTATGCGTGTTTACTTAAAGGATTTTTATTATTTTATTATCATTTTCTTTAAACAATAAAATTGAAATCTAGTTTCACTAAGAAATAATATAAATTTTATAACATACATTGTTGTTATTTAATTTATATCAATTTCTCGTAAAAATAATTGACTATATCAATTAAATACATCCGCCTTTTAATCACAAAATTTCATTACATGTAAATTATCAATTATCTTATTAAAAACATTGTTATTCAACATTACTAAGAACAATATAAATTTCATAATACTCGTACTTGGTGTCCAATTTACGTTAAACTCCTCGAAAAAATAATTAACCAAGTTAATTAAATCAGTTTGCCTTTTAATCGCAAGGTTGCATCACGCGTGAATTTAGAAGCGCAAATGAAGTTCAATTAAATTCTGGTCTCAGTTTGATCCTGTTGCAGGAGTTTCGAAATCACTTGATCAATTGAAGGCACACTTATCTCCGTCCCTAAGTACGATGCTTCAACGAGTTTCTGCCGGCGCAGCGTTAAAATACGCGATAAAATACAGCGGTTGAGAGCGAGCAAGGGTAAAGGGAGGAAAGCATTGCCACTTTCACCGAACCGCAATATTTTTCTCAACATATCGTTAGATTCTACGCATGATATTACAGAGGTGTTCGTCCTTCGTGAAAGTCTAACAAAGTAGTGTGTCGATTGGGGTATGCCTCTAGCATCATCGTGCTCTGTTTCTTATGTTATCGGAGACCTAAGTACGTTCGTAAAACTTTTCAACGATCGGCCACGATGAGAGTGATTATACTTCCCAAGGTTTCGCATTCTAAATGTTTAATAATTGCCAAAGATGGCATAGACGCTATCAATACTTGCATCTTTTATTACGTGAATAATACATTCTATCTTAAGCCGAAGACTGAACTTTGATAACTTTCATCAAGGTTATTAAATTTGTTTACGCACAAGGAAGGAACGGTAATGAAAGTAAAAGAATTTTATTGGGAATGGAATTTGAAGAACATTGAAAGTACAGAGATATTCGGTATTTGCTGGTAACCGTGGTTTAGAAGTGATTAGAATGGGCATGGCTTATCATCATGTGGAGTTTATTATATAAAGGGCTAATGCTAAAATGTACACAAGTTTACGTTATTAAAAATGTTCATTATTGCGATAGTAATAATTAATTACACATAAGTAGTTTCTTTCTAATAGAGGTGAACGATGATCAATTTTTTTTTGTTTTCGTGGCAAATGTTTAAATACCTGATCTGCCGCACGTTTACTTCGTAATTAAATTACAGCAATACAACATCCGTATGAGACAAAATCGACATTAACAAGTGATACGCCGTATTAAATACTAATCGATTTGTCTTTTCTAGGCTTCGTATTCGCTCCTTGAGCTTCCCATTATTTAAAGCACCGATTACATTTAAGACTCGATCGTTAACGCACTTTTCATCGCTCGCAAGACAAAATCATTTTGCTTAGTTTTTAATTAAGTGTGACCATCTTTACGATGTCTCGGACTTTATTCATTACCTAGATTTAGAAGCCGAAACACTGCTAGCACCGACGACAGGTGCAACATCATTAGATTAATTAAAACGAACTAACGACGAATGGACACGTTGCCGTGTCAACAACGAGCTCTTCCATCTTATATAGATTGTATTAGGTAGATTTAGGTAGAATAGTTTAAAACTTCACTGCGGTCCTTTGCAGCCACAATATATGAAAAATATAACGTTGAAAACGTATCGCGACATTCGGTGACTAAAGTCTATTTAATGATTAATTTGCTCGCGTGTTACAACACTTTGCCAGTCAATAGTGGAGGTACGTATTTATATTGTGGATGAAAAGGAAACTTAAGACAAATTCTAAATAATAGTAACTCAAAAGTTCTCGCTTAAAGAAAAAAAAATTTACACGCAAAATAATAGTAAACGCAATGATTCGAGCAAAACAGCGACGGGCGAAATGTTTATTCGCAACGTACGACGCATTATTTTACTGATAATATAATGACGCACTAATATAAAATGAATTCAGGGGATTTTACAGATCCCTCATTAAACTCTGGAGCTCATTGAAACAGTTCTTGTCTATGCCGTAACGCGTTTTATGTAAGAATTCAAACAAAATTTAATTCGCTCTCATCATTTATCGATAAATAATGACATCGATGACTTTCCAGACGTAAAAATAAAGCCGAACGATGCCCAACTCAGGTCACAAAAAAAGTGTAGATACCTCTAATTGTTAGTAACGTACAGGCCCATGAACGGCAGGTACTTATGTCGTGGTCAAATAGGTCACAACAATGTATGCATTTAGTTGCCTGAAATTGTAAAGTCCGATTTATCGATTAACGATATGCATAATTAAACTATTACACACACACAGGAACCAAACCACAAATTTCGAGTTACTCGTAGAATTTGTTAGATAGGAAGGAATTTTAATAATTGAACAAAACATACAGGTATAGTTTCAGTAGTATTTATATATAGCCCAGTCTTACAAAAAAGTGACTGCATCGTTCCAAGGGACGGGCAAACATTGCTCACTTGCGTTAAAACTAACAATTGGTGTGCTGTCAGTTCAAGGTTTTCGTTTCACTGAGAAAGTAGGTATTATAATATTACGGTATTATAAGCATAATAATTAGAAATTAAACTATTCAATTCAAATACAAATCCTACTTTCACTCTCCTATATTTTACTTCCATTTTTATTTATGAAAATCAAAGCGGACATATTTCTTTTTTTTCCTGATTTATATATATAATGTTATGTGACCACCTTTAAAATTGCCTCAATTGCCATTGTGGCAACGTCTCAATATTCGCAGGCCTCTCAGGACGAAGGAAATTTCAGATTGATCACGTTTGTCTGAGCATTCTTCGAACCCGAGTACTGGCTTAAGTTTAAAAGTAGACGAGCCATAACTAATTTCATCGGTGCTGATGCATAAGTGGCAATAGGCTGGGGCTGCTTGTTGGTGGTTTTTAGATGTTGAAGTCAACGGAGATTGGCGCATCACATGGCATACTTGCGCGTCCATTCACGTGCCAATTCATTATACTTCTCCCTGTCAGTTTTGTATAACCTTGCTATCTCTGGTACCAAAGGATCATCTGGGTTTGGATCACAGAGCAAGGAGCATATTGATAGTAACACTGGAAATAAGAGTTACTTTATGTAGAACTGCCAACCGATTTTCCCTAGAAACAATACTGGTGTTCCATCCTACGCGAAGGAACACCAGAAAGCTGTTTGGTTAGAAATGACTTGTAAATATATGTACCCTTTGATATGGTGAGTGCTGGGGACCATTGCGATCTTAAAATATCCAAACAAATACTTCCATTACTGTTAATATTTGGATGATAAATTCTAGTTGTAAAAGCAACCTGTATAAACGTTATTGAATTAATAGATTGTCCATAAATAACTACATTATGTAATATTACTTTAGATTGTATTTACATACCTTAGGTGGTTTGAATGGATAATCTGTGGGAAAGTGGATTGTAAGGAAAAATACTCCTCCTTGATATGGACTGTCAGGCTGAAAATAATATTTAATATTCCTAAGTATGTAGAAATATGTTCTTTTATTTACTGTAATTATATGATAGTTTTCACGAATTTTTAGAATAAATAGATTCACATTTAAAAAAAATAATTTAAATCACATTCTATCATGAAATTATTTCACAATATTAACACTAATAAAAATATATTGAAAATAAATGATTAATGTGAGTACCAAAACAAATTTTTGACATTACATAAACATTGCAATATGTTGATATTGTACATAACAGAAGTGAAAATTAATTGTAATATCTTACTGAAATTATTATTAGATTAAACAGTACATGCATTACATTATATTTTTGAAATGTCATTCAGATATAATACAACATACATGCCATTATTTGGAAGTTACCTTTAAAGATCAGAGTGAAAGTGAAAATACTTGGAAATAATACTGGCAAATTACATTTATGCATAGAACATTAATATAATATTTTCATGATATAGATTTTCAAATTGGTAAATATTGATTTAATTTATGTAAACAAAAATATTAAAATCGATATATACTTACTGGTCCCATAATAGTTGCTTGCCAATGGAATACTGAAAGCAATTACATAATTAAATATAGAAAATCCATTTTGTTACACAACAAAATAATGATTCATATCTAAGCATGCAAGTTTAAAAAAACCTGTTTAAAAAAAAAACAAGATTAGGAGTAATAAAGAATCATAAATATTTTCATTTCATGGTGAAAAACTTGTTTAACACTTTAAGACCAG